ACACATATATAAATAGCTTAAGAACATGAATAAGTAATATATACACATCTAAAGCACTAATCAACACCAAAATCAAAATTTATGCCCACTAGTCACAGAAATATAAATTGACTTTTTCCATACTAAATTTGCTATTTAAAAGAGTAAAATAGCCAATGCTTCTGTCCTTCCATTACCCTTCTGAAAAACTGATTTTTGCATAAAAATATGCATTGCAGTTTTATTTCTAATAGTGAAAAATAATTTAAGTATCCAACATTAAGGAAATTACTGAATAAAATAATGCTGCATTCATACAATGTTCTGCAACCATTTTTAAAATACACAAAGAAGGGCACCTGGGTGGCTCAGTCGGTTAAGCATCTGCCTTTGGCTTAGGTTATGATCCCAGGGTCCTGGGATCGAGTCCCACTTCCGGCTCCCTGCTCAGCAGGAAGCCTGCTTCTCCCTCTGCCTCTCCCTCCACTGGTATGCGCTCTCTCTCTCTCTCTCTCGCTCTCAAATAAATAAAATCTTTTTAAAAAATACACAAAGAGTTTTAAAGATACGGCCAATGTGTATTATACACTTGGTTAAAAAAGATAAGGTAAGCTTTTTATTTAGTGGTTCGGTGATCTCTAACTGTGGTCCCCTTGGGCCAAGCAATTTCTTTAAAGGAAAAGTTAGCATTATGTATGTGGGGTGCCAGGACCACTGCCACATGAAAGCAAGTATGATTTTTATTTTTAATATTATTTTATTTGTGTCTGTACATATTCATGTATAAATTTTATGAAACCCAGACATAGTGCTTATTTTTAATAAAATTCACAACTGACTTTAAAAAAAAAAAAAGATAAGGTAAGCTTTAACAAATAACTGTACTATATTAAAAATACATAGGAAAAATGACTGGAAGGAAATATCCCAAAATGGTATCACACCTACCTTTGGATAATTTAGTTATAAACATTTTTCATTCTATACTTTTTAAGCTTCCAAATTGTCTGCAAAAAGTATTACTTTTAAAGTCAGAGTATTTTTTAAATAGTTTAAGTTATAATTTATATTTTAAAGCACCTATGCTTTGCTAGGCATTCAGAGTTTATAATATAAGAGAAAGGAGTTTTTCAATATGAATTTTAAGAGCCCATCACATTAACTGAGTACTATATAGCCATTAAATGGAATAGGCAGATGTGTATGTGGAAAAGAACAATCTTCAAAATTTATTATAAACAAGGTGAAGAGGGTGCACCTAAGTGGCTCAGTTGGTTAAGTGGCTGCCTTCAGCTCAAGTCATGATCTCAGGGTCCTGGGATCGAGCACGGGCTGCGGGCTCTGTGCTCAGCGGGGAGTCTGCTTCTCCCTCTCCCTCTGCCCTTCCCTCCCATCTTCCCCCCCACCCGCTCATGTGTGCTCTCTCTCAAGTAAATGAAATGAATAAAATCTTTAAAAAAAAAAACAAGGTGAAGAATGGTATACAAAAAGCATGTTTTCATTTGTGTAGAAAGAAGATGATATACCCACTCACCCATATGCTTTCATATGTACAGAATCTTTTTAGAATACACAAATGAAATGGGAATGTAGGTTCCTCTAGGAAAGGGAATTAGGCACACAGGTCCAGGGAAGAAAGGAAACTTCAGTTTTACTGTATTTCTTCTTGGTCCTATTTAGCAAGTTAGTGCATGAGGTAGTAAAAAAATTAAGTAAAAACATAGTCATTTTAAAAAGTATACACACAAAGGGGTTCACCTCACAGTGACACAAACCATAAATTGGGTACTCTCTGGTTACAAAAGTGTTATCTCACTTTATAATAAATTAATTTGAAAGCCTTGAGAACAAGGCATAGGCTTAAATTTGAAAAATCTGAAATCACAATGCAACCAAATCTTTTATACTAGTGGTTATTATTTAGGCCCACAAAATAAATCAAATTTTAACAAATCACCTAATTAGACTTCTACTGAGCAACTAGAAAAGTTAGGATTTTAAGCATTCTGACAGACTAATAAGGTAAATGTGAAATTTATAACATTCTTTTTTTTTTTTTTTAAAGATTTTTATTTATTTATTTGACAGAGAGAGACACAGCGAGAGAGGGAACACAAGCAGGGGGAGTGGGAGAGGGAGAAGCAGGCCCCCCGCCGAGCAGGGAGCCCGATGTGGGACTCGATCCCAGGACCCCGGGATCATGACCTGAGCCGAAGGCAGACGCTTAATGACTGAGCCACCCAGGCGCCCCAAAATTTATAACATTCTGATACCTATTTATTTTATAATGCTGACTTACCAAGTGGTTGGTCTTGACTTGGGTTTAACTTGGGTTCATTTTCCAAGTGTGAATCTGGTTTTGGTTTCAGTTTCAAAGCAGGAAAGAATTTCATCATGAGATCCGATGTAGGAGGAGGGCTTGTGCTCCTACCGGGTTTGCTCAAGTCTTCTCCCTTCTTAACTGGTGCAACCTTCCTCTTGATCGTTTTGTCCAATACACATATTTCACTCTTAGGGTAGGCTGTTTGAGGAGTCCCATAAAAGGCCTCATTCCCAAGAACAGCATCATGTTTAAATGAATTCTCTTCAAGGTCAGTCCAAGTTCTTTCATCATCAAAGTCAATTTTACTCATGCTTACGGATGAGGGTCTTCTTGAGGACTCAGAAACTTTGTTTTTCAAGCTTTCTATAATGACAGACTCATCGCTACTGTAATCTTTATCAGACAGATCTAAATCAACATCTCTCCTTTTATCTTCTTCTTGAGTCCCAGTGTCCGTAAAAGGCCCCTTACCATCACAGACTTGTGGACTGTCCTCTCTGCTGCTGAAACCCCTCTCTTTATCCTCAGTTGATGGTTTTATGGTAACATCAAGTTGCTCCTCAGAGTCAGTGCTACTGTCACTGTCTGTGACACCTTCCTCATCACTTACATTCCACCGAGTCTGATTTTCAGAAGTGCTCATTGGGAACGCTTTCCTACTGACTTTACACAACTGTTCCCTATATCCTTCAGGCGAGGAGACTGAATCAGGTTGGTTGGGTGTGACCTCACACTCACCCTCATGTTCAGGTTCAGTACAGTCTGGAGCCTCACTGTGGTTAGACTGGATAACAGGATCCAGGGTCACCATCTCCGGCTGCACAGCTTTGACAGGGGTGGAAGACAGCCGGTGACCTTTGCAGATCTGCTGGTCCCTCTCTAAGATCTTCAGTACAAATGAGGAATTACTGGAAAATGATATTTCATCAGCAGCTCGTTCCAAAAACAAAAATTCATCTAACTCCAAATTTTCCTTTTCCTTTTCTCGTTCCCAAGTCTCTAACTTTTTCTGAAGAGAAATGTCAAGAGAAGATTCTGACTTTTTCAAGGTCTCATTTTTTGGGCTATTCGAAGACATGCAGCTGACCAGTCCTGCCGAAAGAGGAAGTCTATCTTTACCCTGTGTCTTATTCCAGACTTTGCAACCAGTATCACAAGGTTTTGCACACTCAGGTACATTATCTCTATTATTAGACTCAACTTTTTTTTTTAATTTGATCTGTTCTCTAAATTGCCCATCACATTTCTTCCCTCCAGGTATTTTCAATCCTGATGGAGGAAGACTTTTCCTGTTACTACTCTTAAGCACTTTCGGCTTCTGACTGAGTGTGACAAAACCACTCTTGGCTCTACCTTTACTGTTCTTTTTAACAGGAGGGTTATCTGTACACAGTTCTTTATTTATAAGAGCAGTTTTCCGCTGGAATTGTTGTCTATCCATTTTAAACACAGGTTGGTCCTCTAAAATGCTCTGATTAGTCACTAGTTTACTTTGTCTCCCTTTCTGAGACTTAGATTTAGCATTAGTAAATCTAGCTAAACCTTCTCCTCGTTTCAAGAATGGTTGTTTTGGTTTTGCTTTGATTAGGAACGATCCTTCTGCTTCCTAAAATAGAGAACAATATTTGAATTAATTCTGGTATACCCAAGTTATCTCAAACTTATTTTTAAAGCAAATTATGAACAAATCTCTAAAGTCTTAAGTGAACTTAATCAAAACAGCGGAAATGCCTACCCTTAGTTGTTTTCGTTTCAGTTCTTGTTCTTCCAGCCGAATTTGTTCTTCTAAGTAGTCTTCAAATGTCTGTTTCCTTTCTCTGATAGCAGCTTTAATAGGTCTAATCACAAAAATAAAGTTATTTAACATGCAAGTCAAGATGTGGTGAATATCTGACACTTAGTGTGCCTGACACAGACACCCCGACTACACCTAAGAACTAACCTTTTTCAAAGTCATAGACCCTCTTTGAGAATCCAATGAAAGCTATAATCCCACCCCATCTCCAAAATACAGAAATATGCAACTCTCTACACATGATTTGAAAAAAAGCCCTTCTGAAGTCCATTTATTGCCTGTAGATTAACTTTTGATATTTTGAAAATCTCATCAAATATGCATCTTTAACAAAGAGCCTTGACAATGTAGAGCAATAATCAGAAGTCATTTGCCCATCCATAACATATACTAAAATATTTCAAATATTTAAGAATATAATAAACCTCAATATTGATATTTTATCTTTGTCATAAGATTTTTAAATTCTGTAACCAGACTTACCCAATTATAATTTATAGGTGACACCAAATATGAGACTCAATAGTAATTTGTTATTGTCTTTGCCAAAATGGGATTTACTTAACTATTTGAAAGATTAATTTTATCCAGATTTTTTCTCTTTGGTGAAAAAACTTTGCTCAGTTCTTCCAAAACAATGTCAAAGCTACTTGAACTGATGTATCTCCCTAACAGCTGTCTGTTGCTGACAATATGTGGTAAGTTGTACCTTTAACATTATACTTAAAAGCATATTCAAGCAAAAACAAGAAAACCATGGGTCTTTAAAAAAAAAAAAAAGAAAGGGCTCTATCTTAATAGCTGTGTATAACATTAAACGGTCACTCTTCTTATTCTTTTCAACATGGATGATACCTTTCTTCAATATTAGCCACTTCTGAAGAATCACCAATTTTTTTTACATTCACATCATTCCCTTCCTCAATCGGTTCGGTCACTTTTTCCCAACATGGTAAAATACCTTCTCCTAGGATAAAAATTAGGAAAATTTAGTTTCAAAAAATCAAGAATAAAGTCTTGTAAAATCAAATTTTACAAGTTACTATGCTAAAAAAATATTTATCAAAAGTAATGTATGCCAGGGACACCTGGGTGGCTCAGTCAGTTGGGCATCCAACTCTTGATTTCGACTCAGGTCATGGTCTTGGGGTTGTGGGATCGAGCCCCACAATGAGCTCTGTGCTCAGCGGGGAGTCTGCTTCTCTCCTTCTCTCTCTGCCCCTTCCACCCCTCTTTGCATGCACACTCACTCTCTCTGAAATAAAGAAATCTTTAAAAAAAAAAAAAAAAGGTAATGTATGCCAAAGATTTTAGAGCCCTTAAGGATTTCTTTAATATTACAGAGATAAACTACAAAACCCTAATTAAAACATGACATTCTTCAAAAGGTTAATGTTATGAAAAAAAGTGTGGACTTTTCTAAATTAAAATTGACTAAAGAGTTGTAACAACCAAATGTGATAGATGAACTTGATTAGAACCTGTTTTTTTTTTTTCTTTTTAAACACCTTTAAAAGACATTTTTGGGACAATAGCAGGAATTCTAAAATGGATTTGAATATTACAGAATAGTACTAGGACTATACAGAAGAATGTCCTAATTTTTTTACTTGATGCACGCTGAAATATTTAAAATAATGGAACATAATGTCTGCGTATTACTTGCAATGAAATGATTGAGCAAATTACATATAAATACAGAGATATTATAGATGTAGGTATAAATATATATAAACACACATAAATATATAGAGACAAAGTAAACATGGCAAAATATTAACTGCTGAATTGAGCTCTACTGCTAATCATTGCAGTGGACTTTCAAGTTTTCTGGATGTTTGAAATTTTCCAAAATAAAAGGTTAAGAGACTATACTGTTTAAAAAAATGTTTAAAGGCATTAGACCTTTTCATACTAAGGAATTATTCTAAATTAGAAATAAAATATTATGCACAAAAGTGCCAAATCCTAAGTAGTAAGTGTAGATACCTTTTGTCATATTATTTGTATTTTTAATAACTTACTCCACAGAACATATTCATGAAAACACCATTAAAATTGAAAATTAAATTTAAATAAAAAATTTGGAAAATATTGCCCTACTGCAAAGAACATTAAATACTGATATATTATTTGATGACTAGCATAATGATGACAACCATTAAAATTATGGTTATGAAGACTACAGAATGTACCATAAGCATTTTCCACATTGAGAAGGCAAAGAACACAATTATACAATATTCTATGGTTACAAAATGTAAAAAAAAAAAAAAAAAAGTAGAGGTGGGGAGTGGGGCACAGAAACAGGAGTTAAGAAAAAAAAACCAGAAGAAAATGCCATGAGAGCTCCATGAGTTCAGACCATCAGACACTGCCGGTTCTCTGGCAGGAACGTGCTGGATGCTGGGAATACAGAGATGAAGTGAGGACAAACGGAATGTCTGGGGTTGAGGGGATTTCTTTTCTGAATAAAAACTGCCATCACCAGCCTATTTCTCACATTTCACATCTTCTAGCATGTTCCCCACCACCACCATCATGCACATTTTAAATCAACCTCAAACTATTTCTACGCTCTCCAAGAAAAATGGTATACACGGAACTCACTGCCTCCCTTTTTGAAGACCCCATGCTCCAAGGGGAGGTTTGAAGTCAGCAGGAGTACTGCAATTATTCTTGCAAAGCCACAAATTCTATGTCCAGCTCTACATCCAATCCAGGTTCAGTGGCTGCGCAACGTGTAGGGGCTCATAATTAAAGCCACATGGGACAAGAAAAAAATGCAGAAAGGACTTTTCTTATCTTAGCACAGCTTGGTAACACTGCTAATTAGGGGTACAGAAGAGAGAAATATAAATACCTCACCTAAAGAATGGTTATGGTTTTCTTCCTTCAAATCATTTTTTTTCACAAGTGCTTCTTGATACTGTGCCTCACAAAACAAATTGAGAGAAGCACCACTTTTTGAAGTTAAGACAAAATCTGGGTGAGCAGTTCTACAGAAGTTGTTTTGTTCATCAGCTAAAATGCTGGAAGTGTGCGTTTTTTCTTGGGTTTGATTCTGGTAGATATACGCTGGTGAGAAGGGTGTGGTTTTCTCCATGGTGGTTGAATTTCCGGGAGATCTGTACTTCTGGCTCTGATCATCAGGCAGTAGGGTTGAACCTGGCAATTAAAAAAATCATCAAAACTAATGACTTCCTAGAACATTTTCTCTTCTGT